CAGTGCAGAGATACTCTGGGTGCTGTGTTATACCTGACTATAGAGCAGGCATTTCGTGTAGCCCAGCTGAAAGGGAACAGAGTAACATGAAATTCTTGATCTTTAAACCAGCTGTCGTCCAGGGAGCATCAGTAAAAGCACTTTAAGCAGTTCTGCCTCTTCCATGTGTGCTGAAATTAATACCTCTTTCCAATAACAGTTCATTGGTTTGTGTCTTTGGAGGCTAGTGTGCTAACCCAGGACATAGATCAGAGCTCTGAAGACCTGGTAATTGTTGGATGATTGTCTGTGTGTAACACACAGGGGTGCTGTCATGCTCATGCTTAATCCTGTACTTTGTTCCTGTCTTACTAAAACCATCTTTGTGACTGAACTAAAGCACTTTCCAAAAATGCAGATCCCTAGCCAATATTTCGCTTTGCTATTTGGCTTTTGCATTTTTCCCCTCTCTTCAGCTAGCAAGAGACAAAGTCTTGCTGCCTGGTTCCTTTGAGAATCCCTCACACCATAGCCCTTTATCCAGGCTCACGAACCTTGTCTACTTCTTAGAGCTCATTATTAAACCTCAGTATGAAGATATGGTTTGACACCACACCATATACTAGAGCATTCACCAGAATGTGGAGAGTAGGAATTCCTCCCTGGTGTAGTCACAAAGGTTTTGAACTGTGGGAGGTTGCTCATGCAGCCCAAGGCTATCTGCAGTTGGAAGAGGCAGCCTAAAACCAGGCAAGCCATCAGGTGCTGACCTCCTGTTTCATGTTTCAAGGGATGAACTTTTGCAGAGAGTTCGCTTACAGCAAAAGCTTCCACTCTGAAGAATTGGGTGTCTGATCCTGTGTTAAACATGAGTCTTTTTCTTGTGCCCCTCCATTGAGAGGCCTTTTTCTTGCTGTATGGAGAGGAGCAGGATTGCACACTGAACTGGAGAAATCATGCTCAAGTGTTCATTACCTGTGTCTTCCCTTTTCTGGTGCCCATCTTGAAATGCGTTGGATCACACTTTCTGGGGTGCTGAGCCACTTCCACAACAGCCATAACCATCAACGTGCTCAAAGCTAGTGCTTTCACAGAAAAGCTTTGCTGAATCTCATTGCAGCTGAGCCAAGAGCTCTCTGGGCCTATTGGATGTCTCTCTTCTACCAACGTGATGCAGTAAGCAGAAGGGACGTCTGCTATGATGTGGTGCTCAGTTATTCAAGTCGAACCCCTGCGTGCTGGGCTGTGGTTGTGCTGGCTGAGCCCTGACTCACGTTCCCTTTTTCTGTGAGGAGCAGAAAACTCCAGCAGATGTGTAGAGCAAGCAATGGGGAGCAGTAGCTGTTGCAGTAATATTTACCAGCATTTGTCTGTCAGAGCTCTTTAAAGACTGTTTTGAAGATGTTCATCTTTGTTTGATGGAAATCCTGGTGTGAGTGCCATACTTAGCATTGCAGTGTTCTTGGTGGCTGGCATGTACATGAGACACAGGTCAAGGGGTTTTGTCCCCCCAGCCCTGGTCCCACCCAGTGTCTCCACAACTGCAAAGGGAGAAGCGTGCAAATTCAGTGCAGGTGCTAAGCAGGACTTCACTGGCTCCACCCTGCTGCTGGCTTTTGCTTCCTTGGTTTTTAACCAACATGTTCAGAATGCACAATCAGCATCTTGGAGAGGCGGCCGTAGGAAAAAGGAAGCTCGCATAGAATATAAATAGCCAAATTTTAAAATGTGCCAGTGTAGCAGCTTGGCTGGCTCTTGGCGTGAGCCTGGCTAGAGACCTCTGCGAAACTGCAGTACTTCATGTGTGGTTTGCAAAGGGGGAACTTTGGGGGATATCACACAGGTCAGCAAGGCAAAAAATGAATGAATTTGACAATCTTGAATATGGGAAGGAAATGAATTTTGCTTCTACGCACATAAAAATTGGGTGTATCCTCTGCATGTGACATGAAACATAGTGAAAACCCCCGTGCAGTTGTGGCAATACTTTCCACTGTAGTTGCATAGCAGCTGCCAATGATTCATTAATTGATCCAAGGACATTTTATCCTCCTATATGATTAAATTTCTTTATTAATTTAATTGCATCTCTAAAGCATCTGATTTTTCTTGATGTTTGCATCTGGAGTTTATAACTGCCCAGCCAAATCTCTTTTTCTGAGAGACTGTACGGGGGTCTGCTGGTCCTGCTGGACCCAGAGCTTTCCTCCAGCCCGAAGTCAGCATAACTGAAAGACACTCAAGGGTAGGGCTGATCTGCAGGCTGGGTGATAAAACCTGGGAGAAAGCCCAGGACATCTGGTGTAAAGCATCGTTGGTAGTGACCCTTCTTCTCTATCCCCCATGGGCAGTGGGCTTGTGTGCTCAAGAGGCATCTACTGCTGTCACTTCCAGAGGACAGCATGTAGCTGTGAACACCAGGATCTGATGGTCTCTGTGGGCAAACTGGGAAGAGTTTCCACAGCTTTTCTTTCATTTTGCTGGAAACATCATCTAGAGATGGAAGAAAGACAAATTGGCTGACTTGGGCTCAAGCTAGGTACCTTCACTGTAGGGCGTTGATTTAGAGCAGGTGCAAGGCTTTAGCACTGCTGGCAGCTTTCTCATGATGCCCTGTCAGTCCCTCCCGTTCCCAGCTACGGCACCTTGCGGGGTTGGAGGGGGACTCACCTAGTATAGAAGCACCTTGTTCCTGTGAGCTTTTGATGGAGAGGAGAGGTGCTGGGGGAGAAGCCCAGTGATCTTGGCTGCCGGTGCCTTTAGCTGTATACCAAGGTCACCTTCCCCTTGCTGATGTATTTTAAACAGCTTCATCTTCCCACACTGGGGCCAGTGTCCTGCATGGGCTGCTCTGGTGGAGCTCCCAGTACAGGTGTGACGTGGGGCTGCAGAGGAACAGGGAGTCAGGGTGGGCTCAGGGGCTGGTCATGGCCCTGTTGGTGTCCAGGCTGTGTGGTGCCAGCCACTGGGGCTCAGGGCTGCCAGCCTGCCTGGGCCTGGGCCAGATGAGCTGGGGGAAGGTTGGACTTAGAGCTGCACTACCCCCAGCAGCCAGCATCATAACTTTGGAAGATTTATGGAGGCAGGAGGGAGACGTATTTTCATGTCATGCTGTCTAGGAGGCCGCAGGGCATGTGTGCTGCTGGGTGCCTTTTCCATTCTTGTGATTTAGATCTGTTTATACTTGAACATAAACTTATGCCATAATTTATCTCACAGCATAGAACAAGAGAGACTGATGCAGGTGTCTGGAAGGACGTCTGTGTCCACTGCCTTGTGCGGGTGCTGTCAGGGTTGATCTGGAAGCCAGTGAATCCAGGGAAAGACATTTGATGATGGCAATACAGCTGGAGTTAGCTTTACAAACCCTTGAGCTTCAACAGACAAAACCTCTCCATAGTCTGGCATGAAATGAGAAGAGCGGGTTCAGCAGAAAGTGAGAAGTCCAGTAACCCTGCCCAGGGCTCTGTCCTCGTCCATTAGAACCATGAACAACAAGCTTTTTTAAAGTTTTCCCCTCAGTCTTTGAACTGGCTGTGGTTCCCTGCCTTGATTCCTTGCTCATAACAAGCACTTGATTTAAGCGGGGTGTGACAATAGCACAGTGATTGCTGCTGCGATGGCAGTGATATAAGATGGTGGTTGAAGAGCACGTTAGGTGCACCTTTGATACATCAGCTCAGGGTCATGTTCAGTGCTTTCTGCTCAGTGTCTCTTGAGATGGGCAGTGCCATCTGAAGCCAGGGCCTTGGGTATGGCTGTTCCCATGTTCACAGGGAGCAGCCTGGGAGGATAATATTTTGCAGGGAACAGCACTGCTCCCGAGACTCTGTCCTGGGTCGCTCCATGGCAGCATCTCCTCTGGAAAGCCTTGTGTGGTTGCATTGCTCAGAGGTTTTTGTGCTCCTGAGAGGCAGATTTCAAGGAAAGCCCTTGGCTGCACTGTGATATGCAGGGCGGCTTGTTCCTGAACCCCTGCACCCCAGCATGTGGTCACATCCTCATGCTAACCGCTTACTGCTTCCAGGCATTGCTTGAGCAGTGGGGTTTTGCTGCATGTTACATTGTGTCCCACCATTTGGCATGGGGGATGGAGGGCAGGGGAGATCCCACAGTGTTTGAAAGGATTTGGATAAATCCTTCTTAACAGAGTCATTGACTCATCAGAGTGTGGTTAGAGAGAAGGAGGAAAACAGATTGTCCTTGTGGGGCTGGAGCTGCCATGGAGCCCCATGCTGGCATGTGGGACATGCATGCCTGGACGCCTGACTGAAGAAGCATCCCCTCTTTCCTCACCAAATTTTAGATGGTCTCCATTCCACAGAGCAGAAATGTGAGCCTCGTGGCTGGATCGGGCTGTGGGACAGAAGTGCCTGTCCCCAGAGGTACAGGGATGTGTCCCTGCTGTGCCCAAGCCCATCTCAGTGTGGTTCCCTGGGGTTTCCCCTCAGCTTTGAGCTCCCCCTTAGGATTTCTGCCTTCTGTGCATGGCCAGCTCTGCCAAAGCTTGTGGGCAGCTTGCTTTGACAGTTATTTATTACCAAAGCATCTTGAGGTGCTCAGTTTCCACAAAGGCAGATTACTGAGAATGTGGTCAGACCAGGCAGCAATGTCATGTTGTGAGAAAGGCGAAGACTTGGGGAGGGAGAAACAGCTGGGGCTGGGTGCAGGGATGTGCTGCCACCTGCTCCCCTCACTGCCTGGTGAGGGGTCCTCATTCTGCCCAGTACCTGGCGCTGGTGCAGGTAGGAAGGGCTGAGACACTGAACCAGGGGGCATGGAGCAGACTGAGAGCAGCTTCCCAAAGTCCTGGCTCTTCCTATGTCCAGGCTTAGGTGGGCCCAGACTTAATCTGTCCAGAAAGTTGTCACCTGGTTTGCATTTCTGAGTAGCAAGGGTGACTCTCACTGCCTGCCAGCCATTGCCTTTGGCTTGCTGGGGTGCCTCATATGAGCCTGCAAGAGCACTTCTGCCACACTTTATTCTCCTTATTTCATGGTGTATCGTATCCTTTCGTGCAGAGCTCCACACAGGAGATTGGAGAAGAGCTGGAGGATGGTGTGATCTACAGCATATCGCTTCGGAAAGTGCAGCTCCATCACACAGCCAACAAAGGGCAGCGATGGCTGGGGGTAAGCTAGGGGCTTCACCAGCCTCCTGCCAGAGGGTGTTTTAAAGGTGTTTCCTGCCAAAGTCAGGGCTTTGCAGGGTTGATACCAGCACATGTCTCGCCCTCTTCTTGCTCCCCCAAACCCTCCTGTCCTGGGGGGTGTCCTTCCAAGCCTTATCTGGGAATCATGGGATTACTTGGGAGCAGTGGCATGGGAGCACCTGCTGGCCTCTGCCCCACAGGAAGGGGCATGGGGGAAACAATCTAAAGCCCATTTTGCAAACAGGGCAACTCTGATTTGCATTTAGATTTTGGCAACTTTGAGGCCTTTCCTGGCATTTCCCAAATGCGTCAGTTTTCTCAGCTGTGTTGCTGGTATTTGGTGTCTGAAGAGACCCGGTTTCCCTTTCTCAGACCCATCATGAGAGCCCCAGGCCTTGTGTAGGGTGTCCATGGGCCCCGCCTAGACCCGAACAATGTCTTTTGAAGCTGAAAGTGTCTGTCCTCACCCAGCCTACTGACTTCTGATCCTGTCCCCACAGTTTGAGAATGAGTCAGCCTTAAACCTCTACGAGACATGCAAGGTACGGACAATAAAAGCCGGGACCTTGGAGAAGCTGGTAGAATACCTGGTCTCGGCCTTCAAGGGCAATGACTCCACCTATGTCACCATCTTCCTGTGCACTTACCGGGCCTTCGCTACCACCAAGCAAGTGCTGGATCTGCTGCTTAACAGGTGAGGCTGCCCTGAGCCCCAGAACACAGCTTCGGTGGTGTCTAAGCCCCCTCAACAAGGAGAGTCCCAGCTTCTTTTGCTGCCATGCCTCGGAGGGCTGATGGGCTTCTCCAAGCTCCATCAACGTGAAGGTTTTGGGGCTGGGCAGGGAGGACACAACCTCCCAGAAAGCTGGAGCCTTTTCAACTGATACTCTGCTGTGAGGTGGCCAGTGCCAGCTGCTTCCCTATTCCCATAACATGGGGGCTGTGGCAGAGAGGGGGGAACAGGACAGTGCCTGGGAAGTTCATCCTGACCCCCTGGCAGAGCTGCGGGGTGATGTGGAGGGAGAAGAGGCAGCACTGAGAGGCAGCTGATTCAAGGATGCTCACAGCTTCCACGCTGTGCCCCACCAGGTACGGCAACCTCCATGTGCAGGTGAATGGGGACCATGCCAGGCATGCTGTGGATGAGAGGATGGAGCTGAAGAAGTAAGTCTGACTGCACTGTGGGTGAACAAGATGGGTAGCTCTGGTGACAGCTCTTTGATTCTCGCTCAAAGGCATGTGTTATTTTTCTTGTCCCAGAGGTGCTCCTGAGGCTCATGGGGGTGCTCATGAGACTGCACATGGTTGTCTCCTGGCACCTGATTCTCACACAGGCTTGCCTGTGTTTCCCCCCCCTCCCTGCAGCACCATCTCCTCCATCCTGGGTGCCTGGCTGGACCAGTACTCAGAGGACTTCCGCAAGCCCCCGGACTTTGCCTGCCTCAAGCAGCTCATCTCTTACGTGCGCCACAACATCCCTGGCTCAGACCTGGAGCGCCGAGCTTGCATCCTGTTAGCCCAGTTCCAGCAGCAAGAGCAGAGCGAGTCCGAGGTGGAAGGTGGGGGTCCTTTTCCTGCTTGCAGGGGGCCATTTGGGGCTGCAGGTGGAGGTAGTGCTACTGTTTGGCATTAAGGGTCTCCAAAACCTCGGGTCTTGCCACATGGGTGAACCCCCATAAACCCTGCCTGTGTTTACATGAAGGTGCACCGGGAAGCTAATCCAACTGCACCAGAAGTGGGATTTCTAAATGGATTAGCTTATCTGCCCTTAAGCCTCTGCAGATACATGTGTTCAGGTTTAAAATGACTGTGCTTTTATCTGAGCCTCGTTTATTGTGGTGTGAAGCCAGATGGGAATTAAAAGCCCAGGTGGTAGGATATGGGTGTCCACAGGGAGCTGAAGTGGTTCAGCATGGGCCCCAGCTCCTGTCAGCACTGTGGTGCTCAGCTTCACACCATCTCTCACAGCTGTGGACCACAGTGGCTGCACCTTTCAGCTGGTGGAAGAGAACGGGGTCAGGGACGGGAAGCCGGATTTCCTCTCCTTCTCCCCAGAGATGGTAGCAGAACAGTTCACACTGATGGATGCTGTGAGTATTCATCCAACAGCTAGGTCAATGGTGCTTTGCCTGCCTGATACCTGCAACTCTGGGCACAGGCCTGTCTCCTTCCAGCCATCTCTTCCTCCTGGCTTGTTCTTTTCCCAGGAGAAGCGGACACCCATCTCCATGCCTTTATCTTCCAGGAGCTGTTTAAGAAAGTGGTGCCTTACCACTGTCTGGGCTGCATCTGGTCCCAACGAGACAAGAAAGGCAAAGAACACCTCGCACCCACCATCCGTGCCACGGTCTCGCAGTTTAATAGTGTGGCCAACTGTGTCATTGCCACATGTCTCGGAGACCGGTCCCTGAAGCCACAGCACAGGGCTAAAGTGGTGGAGCGGTGGATCGAAGTGGCTCGGGTAGGACAGCTTACTGTCCCTCTCGGCCCAAGGGCTGAGGTTTTGCAGTGCCTGAATCCCAGCAGATCCCTGAGCTTTCTTTAATGCTGAGTCCTGTCATCTCTTTGTCTGCCCCAGGAGTGCCGCATCCTGAAGAACTTCTCCTCCCTCCGAGCCATTCTCTCAGCTCTGCAGTGCAACGCTGTTCACCGGCTGAAGAAGACCTGGGACGAGGTCCTACGGTAAGGAGCACCTGCTGGGTTCATGTGGCCGCTGGGAGGTTTCAAGGGGCAGGTTATGCTGTGGCTGCTATGGTCCTTGAATATGTAGATGGGATCATCTCAGCTCCAGCATTGCTTCTTGTAGTGTGCCCAAAACACAGGGACCAGTGTAAGGGGTCAGGGAGGAGATAAAAGTGTTATGACCTCCTTTCCATGTGAAACACCCTGCAGTAGCCTCCAAACAGCAAGGCCCTTCTAGAGCTATGAGCAGAGCTGGGGTCATTTGGGTGAGCAGAGGAGGAGACCAACTGTGACAGCACTGCTGACTTTTCCCCTGAGCAGGGAGAGCTTCCGCACTTTCCATGAGCTCTCAGAGATCTTCTCCGACGAGAACAACCACTCGCTGAGCCGGGAGCTTCTCATTAAGGTATGGGGAAGTGGCATCCACATCTCTCTGTCTTTGGCATGGAGCACAGGCTGGTGCCAGCACAAGTTTCTGCAGTGTTCCAGTCACCAGAATAAAGCCTTGTCAGTGCTGCTGGGGTGTCTGGCAGGGGTACAAGCAGGGTATGCTGGGTCTGGGGAGCAGGCAGGGGTTTTGGACTAGGGTAGGCTTTCTGCTTCTCCACCAAAAAGTCAACACTGTCTGCAGCTTGCAGAGAAATACTCAGCAAGCAGAGATAAGCAGTGGGATAGGATCCAGTGTGTCAGGTGACAGCTTCTCCCAGGAAGGAGCTGCATTTTAACAGCACAGTGTGAAATCCTGTTGATGTCCGGTGGGGTTGTAGTGTTTGTGGAAGGATGCAGCAAAACTGTCCTTCTTCCCATTGGAGCCTCTCTGCAGCTTCACAGTTTGGGGGCTGAGAGGATACAAAATGCAAAAAGGAACAAACCATTCCATTGAGAAGGTTTATACAGAGCTGGAAGTGGGATCAGCAGTTCCTGTTCACTAAGCTGCTCCTCTCTGTGAGCCATGAAAAATCTCAGGTTTGATTTCTTCCCCTCCCCGTCATCCCTCTTTTCCTCTGCAAGGAAGGTTGTACAAATGAAAGCGGGTGTGAATTTTAGCTCATCTATTAGTGCAGGTTCCCACCCGTGCTGATCTCCACCTCTCCCCACCATCCAGGAAGGCACATCCAAATTTGCCACCTTGGAGATCAACCCGAAGAGGGCTCAGAAGCGGCAGCAGCAGCAGAGAGAAATGGTGAGTCTGACACAGGTGCCCCTATGCCCCCTCCCTGGCAGCTGCTTAGGGTGGTCCCAGCTCTCTGCTGACCTCGCTGTCCCTTCTGTCCCCACAGGGTGTGATGCAGGGCACCATTCCCTACCTTGGTACCTTCCTCACGGACCTGGTGATGCTTGACACCGCCATGAAGGATTTCCTGGATGTATGTCCCTCCATCTCTGTTCTCCCCTTCCTCCCTTTCTCCACACAGCAACCTCAGAGGCTGGGCTGATGAAAGGAGGGCTTGTTCCCTGTGCATCCTACATCTGACACTGCACCCTGCACATCCTATATTCAACATTGCACATCCACCTCTGTCAGCACGTGGAAATGGGCCAGTCTCATGCTGCCTCTCAGCAGGGACACAGGCACTGTAGTGGAGGGGGGGATGAGAGCAGTATTTTTCTGCCTGATCCACACTGACATTTGGCTCACTCTTTTCCAGGGCGGGCTGATCAACTTTGAGAAGAGAAGGAAGGTGAGAGCTTTTCCCAGTCTGCAGCACAGCAGGGTGGAAGGAGGAGGCTGACTTGGTGCTAGCCCAGGCTATGCCAGTCTCTTCGGGGTCAATTCCTCTCCTGTTTTGCTGTCATGCCTTCATTTCTGGGGAGAAGGATTCTGGTCCTTCACATCTGCCTCCGTACATGGGGCTGGCCTGTTTTGGAGAAGACTGTGGCTGGCAAACAGGTCTGGTCTCATCGCCTCTATTTACTGCAGGAGTTTGAAGTCATTGCTCAGATCAAGCTGCTTCAGTCAGCCTGCAACAACTACAGCTTCACGCGGGAGGACCAGTTCGTGGACTGGTTCCACAGCCTGGAGCGGCTCAGTGAGGCTGAGAGGTGAGTGTGACAGGGGACTAAGGCTGTGCTGCTGCTGGTTTATGGGGAGGTCCCACTCCTGGTCTCCTTCAGCTAATAAGCAGCAGCTGCCCCATGCTCCAGTGTCTGCGCTGCCTCCTCTCCACAGCCGTGGCAGCATGGAGAACTCAAACCCTCATCTTTCCCCTCCTAGCTACGGGTTGTCATGTGAGATTGAGCCACTGTCAGAGTCAGCCAGCAACACGTTGAAAGCAAAGAAAAACACAGGCATCATCAAGCGATGGAGCGAGTGAGTCTGCTTGTCCCCAGCAGGATGCAGGGCGGAGACAGGGGCAAATGTGGGGCATCACTGGCATTGCAGGGAGCCAGGCGGGGGTGGCTGCTGTCATGCCAGCCAAGCGCACACCTGCTCTGCCCCGTTCTCACCTGCCCTGCATCTCTCCTGGCAGCCGGCAGCCACCAAGCACCGAGCCCTGCAGCAGCAGCAGCTCCCACTCAAAATCCTTCGATCAGCTCAAGTGTGGGCAGTACCTGTGCAGCGGGGATGCCACTGACTCAGTGAGCGTCACCTCCGCTGGCTCCAGCAGCTCCGATGTGGAGGAGATCAACATCAGCTTCATCCCTGAGTCCCCCGACTGCCAGGAGAAGAAGGTATGGGGCAGCTCATGGGGTCCAGGCCTCTGGAGGCAGGTGTGGCTATTGTGTGGGAACTGCCCCAGCACTGGTGCTGGCACTGGGTCTGGGGGGTTCCCAGGGGTTGTTTCTGACCCGCTGGGGTGAGGGAGGCCCCTCCCCTTTGCTGCTCCAGTGGAATGGCAAGGCTCTTGCACCTCTGGTGACTGTAGTCATGTCAGTCCCCTGTTGTCACAGGTCAGTGAGATCCCTCTGGCCTCCCTCCCCCAGCGCTGGTACGCCCTGTCTGTGGCCAATGGAGAAGTTAAACCCGCTGTGTCCTCCGCATCCCCTCTCCTCCCTGCCCTCCAGTTCTGGGAATCCACGTCCCTCTCCTCCCTGGACACATCAGGCATTGGCTCAGGCTCCAGCAGTGCCTCGTCCTCTTCAGTCTCCTCCACGCCAGTGACGGCCTCCCGTACCCACAAGCGCTCAGTCTCTGGCATCTCTAGCTACTCCTCCCTCTCGCTGCCCCTCTACAACCAGCAGGTCGATGACTGTTGCATCATCCGTGTCAGCCTGGCTGTGGACAACGGCAACATGTACAAGAGCATCCTGGTTAGTGCAGGGCGCGTGTGGTGATGCCAGGAAAGGGTGGCTCACCCCACTTGGTTGTGGGCAGGGCCCATTTTGGGGGTAGGCCATAGTGAGAGGCTTTGCAGTGTTTTGCACTCTTTGGTTAATAATGTTCTCTGCTCTCAGGTGACAAGCCAGGATAAGACCCCAGTTGTTATTCGCAAGGCCATGGCGAAACACAACTTGGATGGGGACAGGCCTGAAGACTATGAGCTCGTTCAGATCATCTCAGAGGAGAGAGGTGTGTGCTGGGGTGTGGGCGCTTTCCTGGGGTCTCTATCCTCAGCCAGCCATGAAGCTCTGAAGCCTGGCTTGGAAGCTAGACTTGGAAGTGTCAGTACCTGGGGACAGCTCTCAGCCCCACTCTGCCCCCCCTTCAGGGAAAGGTACCCAACTGACCCCCATCCTTGGTCATTTCCAGAGCTGAAGATCCCCGACAATGCCAATGTCTTCTATGCCATGAACTCTGCTGCCAACTATGACTTTGTGCTCAAGAAGAGGGGCTTCTCCAAGGGAGTGAAGATCAAGCATGGCTCCAGCTCCACCCTGCCCAGGATGAAGCAGAAAGGCCTGAAGATCGCCAAAGGGATCTTCTAGCCTCAGCCCCACTGCCACCCATCACCAGCGGGGCTTTGGGGGCATGGTGATCCAGCCTTGGCTGCAGCCGGCCCTTGTGCTGCCTGGCAAGGCAAGAGCAGCGGTCCTTGCCCACAGGTCCCACTGTGCCTCACCCTCCTGCACCAAGAGCTGGGCACTTCAGCAGCTGGTGTCGACCTCGGTCCGTTTCAGTTGGGTCCTTGTTTCTGCACAGGAAGACAGCAGGATGGGGGCCTCTCTCTCTCTCCCCCCTCACTCTCTCTGTTTCTCTTCCCCTCCCGCCTGGTGTGACACTAGTCCAGCCCAGCCACTGGGCAGCCCTTGTCTGGAGCTTGCCTCTGCCGTAGGTGCCTTGTGTCCGAGCAAGCCAGGGAGTAGTGACTCACAAGAGGGGCCATTTGCAAGGAGTAGAGCACAAGCACATGGTGGGGTGCTCTTCTTCCCAATTTTCCTGGCATAGTTTTACCTCCATGTCCTTCCTCCACGGGATAACTGGCATCACTGTTGCCACACTTCTCTGCCTGTCATTCCTTTGGGAGAAGCTGTGGATGCCCTGGTCTGGGAAGTGAGCTGGAAAGGATGCAGCCCTGCACCGATGCTTGGAGCCCTGTGGAGGAGGGCTGTGTCCATGCCATGATGGATTGGGTGCCTCATAGTCTCAACAACTGAAAGCCTGCGTGGTCTCTCTTCTCTCCCCAGTCCAGCATGTCCTCAGCCGGACTTTCACAGCCCGTGTTCAAACTTGCACCAAAGATCAAACACCAGTGTCTCTTCTGCCATCGGGGGAAGGTTTGGGTTGTGCCCCAAGTGCTGCCAGCCCACGAGGAGGAGAGCAAAATTCTGTTTGAACTCGTGTAAATAGGGACCTCGGGTCTGCATGGGCAGGTGAGGAGCCAGAGCTCCTGGTGCCCCAGCTGTTGCCCACAGAAAGTGCCACTCGCCTTGGGCTTCAACCAGACTTTTTCAAACACTGACCATGGGAGAAGCAGCACTGAGACTTCTTTTGTATAAAACAAAATAGTTTACTGATTTCACACCCCCCCCCCCCCAAATATTTATTGGTTGTAAATAGAAGAGTCAAACTTGTACATTTTACTAATTCAGCCTCTGCCTGCCCTGCAGTCCAGTCCCTCTCCCCACCCTGGTATTTAAGGATGCCTGGAGGGACAGTGATAGCAGCAGAGTCTCTCTGCCATGCTCATGGGGTGCAGACACTGCTGGCCACCCCCTCCCTTGTTTTTCTACCATCCAAGCAGGAGCAGAGATGCTTGTTTTAATCGCTGTAGGAAACACTAACCCAAAGGGGACCATTTTTTACTCCTGCCTCCATCCCTTTTTTTTCTTTTCAGCGTGCTTCCTTCCAGTGTATTGTTCCCGTTTCCCTCTCTCCATGCTCCTGGGGGTTGCAGCACCTGGGGATGCAGCAAGGCTGAATGGCCATGCTCCAGGGGCCGGGGCTGCTGGCAGTGTGCTCTCCCAGCCCTCTATCCCCTTGGGTGGCATTACACATCTCTGCACATGATGGGAGCTCATGGCTCCCTGACACAGGGGCAGCCTTGTGCCTCCCACCCTGCTCAAAACCCAGCCCTTGGGCACCAGCACCCAGGGTCCTCCCTCTGCTCTATGCTGCCAGCTCCTGCCCACCCTGGGGCCATGCTGGTCCCCCTCCCACTGGTGTCCCCCAGCAGCCCAGTGTCATCGGATGGACTGGCTGTACCGTATGTATTTTGTACCACTTCAGTGAAGGAGCACACTCCCCGGTGTGTCTTGTACACAGCAATGTACTTAATCTTTGCAGTAAAATACTGATGTTCAAATGTCTCTGTCGCAGGGCAGAGCTTGTCTTGTCCTCCTTCCCTAAAATGCTGGCATGTTCCTGGAGAAAGAAGAGTAGGCCTAACTGTGGGGAAGGTGGTTACTACCTTACATTAACTCAGCTGAGCTGAGCTTTATTTTGTATTTGAAGTAAGATACAGGCTTTTTGTTTGAGGGACCAATACCTGATTTTCAAATGAAACCTATTCATTTGAACCTGTGAGTTGCTGGGACTTTTGCATTTTCTGGTTGCATCCAGTTTACTGGATGTGCCTTCAATATAAGCAACGGCTTTAAGAGCAAATGCAGTGGTTGGTCCTTATGGTTTGGATACAGTGGTCTGCCTTGGTTTGAAGCATCATTCTTCTGGTGCTCAAGGGCTCATTTCCTAGCATGGCCAGCATGTTTATCTTCTGTAACTGCACAAACAGCAGTGAATATTACTTGGATAGTGTGTTGATTCAGAGCATGGATATTAAGGATGCAGCAGCATGATCAAGAATTTTGCTGTGCCTGTGGCTGTATAGATCCATTTAAAGCCTAAGCTTTTGGAAATGAAAGGACTGCATTGCACATTCAGGACTGGTAATGCTGTTACCTGCTCAGGCAGAATTAAACACCCAAATTGCTACAGCCTTCCAATACAGGGAAATTTTGAAAATGTCAGGAAACTAAATGAACTCTGGCAAAAGTGACTGCTGGCTCCTTTGGCTTTGGGCCTCCTGCTCATAGGAAGCCTGTGTTTTTCGCAGTGTTTCCAAGAATGTTTATTCGTGATGCTTGCTAATATCTGAGCACATATTCTTACATGGCAGCACTATGTCCACTGCATCTCTCCTTTTCTTCTTTGTGCCATGATGCGCTGCACTGACAAGCGTAACTCCATTGCACAGCCACTTGTACCTCAGAATTCCCACATGGGCAGGACCTACAACTTACCTTGGCTGGAGGTGCCACTAGACAGAACAAGATGTGCAGCCCCCCCATCTTAAAGCTGTAACAATGCCTTTGTACCTACAGAGGCAGCCTGTGCTACCCTGAGGTAGAAGCACAAAGCAAAACACAGGATCTCCCAGTATGCCATGATGAGCACACACCTGAGTCCTCAAATGCAGCTTCTATGGGGATAGATGCATAGGTACATACATATGCTAGATACCCAGCAGCACAGCTATGTGTCACAGTGTGAGAGCCCTGCACATGCTGCTTTTGTGGGCTGGAAGCCAAACCTAAGGAAATAGTTCAGCCTAACAAAACTCCAGAGCACATCATAAAAGCTGAAGCTTTGAGAAGCCTCACACAAGCGCAAGAGTCTCAAAACACACTGAACATGCAGTAGAGTGTATTATAGGCAACTAATGAGAAACCTTGTACTTGTAACACACAAGACTCCGAAAATGCCAGCAGATCCTTAATTTCTGTGATAGAGTGGTACCAATCCAGCTGGCAGTGGCAGATTTAAGAAGTGGCCAGCCTCTGTGGACCTGAAGCTCTGCTCCATTGCATGCATCCTTCTGTCTCTGCTAACTACCAGAGAAGTCAAAACAGGCTTGAGAAGCACACTGGCTCGTGAGGACAGCATACACTACATATTGTGCAAAGAAGTTACTCACTGCCGGAAAGTGTTCTTTCCTGCTGGCTTTATTTCCAAGATCACCAGTGAGGTCTGATGCTCAAGTCATGGCCCAGGGTTTTCATTCCCCTTAGACAAGCAGAAGGGTAGCACCTGTCCTGGAGACTCCAGTAAGACTTGAGTGCTCTGTCCTCATGTACATTCCCTGTTTTCCATGTGGACACCAAGCCAGTTAAAGTGCACTTCCTACACATGGAAACATTTGGGTATGTGACCTCTCCTCTCTTCTGGTATATTACCAGCTGGTTTGGATTCTGGGCTCTGTCTTAGGAGTTTGTTGAGCTTTACTTGAGGACTTATTAGCCAGCAGTTATGAAAATACAGGTAATGCTCCCTAACATCACGAATGGACGACAGCCATCAGCAAGCACCGCAGTCAGTGCAGAAAGCTCATCATCCTTTTAGTACAAGTTCTGCTTTCCCACATCCTGGGCATGGTTGCTGAACCCTCAGCTCTCAGGGTCCAACGACAGAGACAGTGTTAGTCTAGCAGCAGCCAGACTGCTCCCTGAGTTCACACGTAGTCCAGAATTTCTGTCTCCATTTCATTTTCACTCCCATCAGAAGGCTTGAAGTCCTCTTCCTCCTCTTCATCATCCTCATCCTCTGCAGACTCATATGCCAGCTGCTCTTCGCTATCTTCACTGCTTCTTTTATTTGCGAAAAGAGCTTAATTGGGAAGAAAGAAAGACACCGTGATGCCTCTCTCAGCGAAACTTGTGGACATCTGCAGTAGAGTTCTTAAAACGTGTGAGAGGAAGGCAGAGGCTGGAGGGGCACAGCTACTATTTCACATCTTAACAGAATTTGATTAAGCCCAAAGCAGTCTGTTTCCATACTCCAGAAATGCTAGCAGAACACTGGCAGATCTGCAGTGCTGTGCCTCTTCTCCCAGCTGATTCTGATCTCTCTCACTGGGATACTGCTTTGGCTCAGCATGCAAAAATAATTTCCTTGCTTGTTGTTTGATTAAAAACATCAATAAAAAGTAAAATGCCACCAGCAGATACATCATTAAGAATAGGATCTTGATTTTCACTGTACAAAGACATATAAAACCTGAAGGCTGTGACACTGGGAAGATGAAACAGACGACCTTTACTTCCAGCTATTCCCAATAGTAGTAGTAGGCAGTAAGACAGTAATACACTTTGATGTTCAGAAGCATCCCTACCAGGTCTTGTGGATCTGATTATATGCTTTATCATCAGAGACATGGTATCTCGCAGCTCATCGCTAGTCTTTGGAACGCACCACCCATCCCGCTCTGTGCATTCTGACTCCGTGCCATCATTACGATGGATGATTTTCTGTAGCCTAAAAAGCAGCAAAAGAGAAGGAAATGTTAGCCTTCTACTTTCAGATACAGGCTTCAAATGAGGCAGGTTATGGCTTACTTCCCTTTTATTTCATTGAGTTGGAATATTGTATTTATTTGGGTAATTGTCATATGAGACAGGAAGTTCGTGTGTGAAAAGTCTGTTCTATTTTAATGAAGCTAAACACCTCTCAAATCTATGGTTGAGAGAGGGAAATGGACTGGCTATAAACAATAGGGAAAATCCCAGGCACAGCTACAGGTTGGGTGGAGAAGTGATTCAGAGCAGCCTAAGGAGAAGGACTTGGGTATGCTGGTTGATGAGAAACTGAACATGAGTTGCTTCAGTGTGCACTTGAGCGCAAGAACTACCCGTGTCCTGAACAGCATCAAAAGGAGCATGACCAGCAGGTTGAAGGAGGTGATCCTGCCCCCTCTGCTCTGCTCTTGTAAGACCCCACTTGCAGCACTGGGTGCAGTTCTGCTGTCCTCACATAAGAAAGACATGCAGCTGTTGGAGCAAGTCCAGAGGAGGCCACAAGGATGATCAGGGGCTGGAGCACCTCCTGTTTAAAGACAGGTTGACAAAACTGGGGCTGTTCAGCCTGGAGAAGAGAAGCTGTGTGGAGACCTCAGAGCAGCTTCCAGTACCTGGAGAGGGCTACAAGGATGGTGGGGAGGGACTCTTTAACAGGGACTGTAGTGATAGGACAAGGAGTGATGGGTTTAAACTGAAACAGGGGAAGTTCAGGTAGGATATAAGGAAGAAATTCTTTACTGTGAGTGGTGAGGTGCTTACACAGGCTGCCCAAGGTGGTTGTGAATGCTCCATCCCTGAAGTGTTTAAGGCCAGGTTGGATGGGGCTTGAGCAACCTGGTCTAGTGGGAGGCATCCCTTTCAATGACAGGGAGGTTGGAGCTAGAGGAACTAGATGATCTTAAGGTCCTTTCCACACCATTTTATGATTCTATGCTGGCTTTGAAATCCAGCTCTAACAGAAGACTCAGCTGCCAGTGTGCAATACCTTTCCACATTCAAATCACAGAGCTGGTAGAACATCTGCCGATAAGGCGGTAAAGCTCCTTCTTGGAAAATATAAATGGATTCCTAAGAGGAGGAAAGAAGGAGAAAAGATTAATGTGCATTTTTATGGTGCAACAAGACAACTTTGGCATAACCGATCAGTACTTCCAGTGGGCTGAATCAAGAACAAGGTGCTTCCAATGCAAATCATTTCCAAGGCACAGGGCTGCATATGATAAAAGATAAAGCTGAATTCCGAATGCAGCAAAACTTCACTGCAGCAACAGTCAACAGCATCACAGTTGTGCAGAGAACATATTTCATCTCTCAAACTGCAGCTGTGCAGCCTGTTACTGTTTAACAGTGGCTCATAGGTTTCATTCTAACAAAAAGGGAAGAACGAAAGACTCCTGGTTTGTAGGACAACTTGATAAATACATGGCCATTTTTTTGCATTTCGCTGATCACAAAGTACCAGTTTTATCAGTTGAAACAAAATGCTCATGACATCATCTAAGACTAGGGCTTGCCTAGTCTTGCAGAAATACATTTCTGCCATCTTGCAGAAATACATTCAGTGCACAGCAGGTGAAATTCTGTAGTGATGTGTATAACTAGCAGCTTCCCAGGAAATCTGAGGACATCAATTCACCCACAACTGTTCCCTCACTGACTGACAAAATGGTAAACAACACTTTTTATTTAAGATTCTTGTTAAAGAGAGTAATAGTTACCTTCAGTTTATACCTACTGGAGGCAGTCTTTTTTGCACCAGGGGCACTGGATGTACCTAGCCCCTGTTTCAGATCATGTACACTGACTGTGTGACTTACTGAAAGACAAGAAAAGAGTCCTAATTAGGGACATCTTTCATCCTGTGGCATTGTATTATCATTTCTCTATGCTGACTCAACTTTGCTGGTCAGCAAAAACCAGACTAAGCCAGCACCTGAGCATGTGTTACTCATTCTTCAAAGACATTTCTAGACAGGCACAGGAGCAGTGGCAAGTTTGGTGGCTTTTTCCATAGCACACTTGGTCAGAATTTTAACCTCTTCTACTGTTCCTTGACAAAGAAAACAGAAACCTCTCCCCTTACTCTGCACCACCACTGAAGTGAATGTTGAATTCCCTCAGTATTGCTGGCAGAACTCCCTTGTCTGCTACCAGATACTGTGGCTCAGCCAGGCATGCACCAGAGACTCTCACAACACTTCTGAGAAAGAGATTATTCTACTGGCTTAACAGCAACACCACATTATAACCAGAAATAAAGCTCCGGTTTTGGCTCAGGTAGAACACAGGAAGACCCTTCACCACCTGGCACTAGGATAGACTAAACAAACAAAAGAGCCAGAAAGCCCTTCTGCAGGCACAGCATACCAGGCTTCTTGACGGTGATGGGCAAATTGTAGTTATATGTACTGCGTTTTGCTTTCACAGGCATGTCATTAGAGGCATAACCTAGAGGCGAAAAGAGAAAGCAAATAATGAACAGAGGGTAAGCACGCTGCAGAATATCCCTAGCTCAGTAACAGAAGTGGTGGGCTAGTGTGCAAAAGGCAGGGTGATCCTTGGGCTACTGTGATGTTAGCAAGGTGGGGAGAGGAGAGCTGTCACATCTATAAAACCATTTAGATTGGAACATGTGATGGCAATGACTGGATGCTAGCTTTCCCATGGACTGACCTCAGAAAGCTCTGAGACTGAGCATCCCACACAAGATGAGGTCCTTCCTGAGTTCCTCGAGGGAAAGCTACAAGGTAAGTAACAGAATGTATTGCTCAGTGCCTCTCCTGAGTGAGAGGGAAGATGGTCTGCTACATCTACTTGGGATTGGAATTCATGGAGGAGAAAAGTCATCCAGCTGACTATACAGTCAGTCCACTGAGTTTGGAATGTGCCAAATGAGGAAAGACAATTGCCTACTATAAAATAAATGTATTAAAGGAATATATGGAATAACTAGTAAGCAATGAGCTCAAAAGGAATCATCTTCACCAGAGCAGAAATATGGCAAAAGAGTGTGAAAAACAAGTAAAAAGAAAAGTACTATCAGGATTAATCAGAAAGCAGAGAGAGCATCTCTGTGGGTTGGGTGTTTTTACCGTATTTCATTCCACAGCGAATTCGGAAGTCCAGTACTTGATAAATCTTTGCTTCAGGGTGTTTCCTGGGGTCATACCCAAACCTAACCCATAGGCTTCTCCAAGGACCTGTTAACTGTACAAACACACATGCGGGAAGATGGTTACAAAAAACCAGGACAGTGTTGCATAATTTCTTCAGTACAGTGTTGCAGAGGGTCTTAAAAAATTTTAGTATTTCCCCTCATTTTCCAAAGGTTATTTCTTTTACCAGACCTTTCCTCACTTGCCACAACAATATATATTTATCTACTGAAACTCAGTCAATCAATGCATCGAAGCACAAATATTTGTGTGCTTTTACAAACTGACTTGCAAGGTCACCATGAAGTGTTTGCTTGGAAAAAATCTGCTATCTATGCCAGATGAACAGTCGAGTGTCTGACTGAATTGCAGAGCTGATTAGAACCAATAATGTGAACAGTTTCTGAATCCTCCACAGCTTTAACTTCTGTTCAGAAGCTAGGCTTTCCTTCCAGCATTCTCTTTACATAAGGTTAAGCACAGGTACTTTGGTGGTAGGGCCTCAAAAAATGCTAAAGAGCCAGGAACACCCAGCTGATGCTTCCTTACTCTGCCTCCCAGCAGCCTCAGGCACAAGGGCAACTATACACACTTACCATGTAATAGGCCAAATATGGCAAAAGAAGTTTCAGCTTGTCTGGGTGGACACTGATATTGGCTTTCACTGCATTCCGAGACCAGACAGGACGGACTTCAAAGAGCTAAAATAATACAAAAACAACCATGGAACAGTGGGAAGTAACAATGGCAGTTCAGCTTTCCAAGTGAACTTTTTTCTGTGCTGGGGTCTTTGGCTACCAAAATGGTAATGCAAGAACTAGTGGCAGAAAAAGGAACTTCATGTGAGCTGGCTGCAAAAACATTCAACTCTTGACATGTACAACTGAACTGAACACAGCGATGTCAGTGGTGTCTACTGACACTTGCTGTATCAGTCAGTTACAATCACCAAGATTTTTTGGGAAGATCAGAGAAAATGGCTTCATGCAGTTTCTTCCTTCACAGTATGCTGTACACAGTACAGTGCTCAGCCCAGGAGTAAGGCACGTACGTACCTTTCTCAGCTCTTCCTCCACCTTTTTATCCACAGGATTTGTGCACACTTTCTTCCAGGTGTGTACAGCAGCATCCAGTGGTTTAGCAGGGACCTCTTTGTCATCAAAGTTCACAAAGATAGCGTTGTGTGGGCGACGGGCCCTGCTGAGGCCAATCAGGTTCTCACCAGACACCTGGGGATTGTTGTATCCTTCCCTAAGAAACAGGGAAAGGATCAGGTCTCCTTTTTGCCTGTGGCACACACACAGACCTGGGGCCTTGACAAGAAACATGTGAAAATGGAAGCTTGTGCTCAAGATTTTGGAAGAGAAGGGACTCAGCTGAGTGAGCAATGGGTCAGTTTGTCTTTCACCCCATCTCCCTATCACATACTGGTACCATAAAGGAATCTTGTGATACCACTGAGGAAAGTTTAAATTTAAAAAAAAAAAAAAAAAAAAAGAAGAAAAAACTTGCAAAACAACATGAAAACTCTACAATGACAGAGGTCTCTGCACTACTTGGCAGAAAACTCTTGGGGAATTACCCCATTGCTCTGTATGAAATGCATTAGGAGCACAAAAGGCTTCACACTCTGCATTTGCTACTCTAGCTACTGCAGCTTGGTAGGTACATAGACCAGGCAAAATGGAAACGCAGTTACGATATCTATATATATTTTTTTAAGTGCCAGTGAAGGAGCACGGTGAGAAACCAAAATATGTTTCTTGTGGGAGAGCTCACAGGTTGTTCTTCTGGCAAAGCCAACTGGTGACCAAGAGGGAACAGGTCCAGTGAGCACGGTCACAGGAACACATGGCACTGACTCTTGCACGCTCCCCCTCGGTTCCAGCCCGCTGGAAGCAGGCAGAAAGCCAGGCTCACTGCATGCCGTGCTTCCAGGAGCACGCTGGGGGAGGCCATCATCTTCACCCAGATCACCAGCTCCCCTCACCTGGCAAGGTCTCAAGTGGACTTTTGCTGGGGTTTCTGCTGTCCAGGCAGTTTCTGAAGGGTGCCTGCTTCTGCTGTGCCAAATCAAGAGGGGTAAAACAGATTAAGGCATCAGCTTAAACAGGAGAAATACATGAATTATGTATTTAGTTCTGCTCTGATGCTTCGAGAGCAGAGATCCTATAATAACAGTCAAGTCAGAATGGATTGGAGGCGTCTTCAAGTGGTTATACTTCAAGTAGAAATATATATCAAGCCAGCAAAACCTTTCACTACCTGTCTATTCCAGAACCAGCACAGTTATATGCTACGTTGTGAGAAAAGGCACTAACCGGTGTTGTATATCTGGCCGATAAAAATAGTCAATGGGAGTGTCCAGACGTGAGAAAATTGGTGGTGGGATGTAGAGTGGTAGCTCTCTATTGAAAAATTCTTCCTTCTCTGGTTTGAGCATTAGGACTTTGTTGTACATAGAAGTTTGTTTTCCATCAGAACCACAGTGCATTGCCAGGTACTGGAAATCAGACATTCCTGTGAGAAACAGAAGTTAAAACATTGTAAAGTTAATTGTGAATATGACAGTATTTCTCACAACACTCAACTTACATGAGCAGGCGTCTGACAAATTTATGCAAAGGTTTACACAGCAAGTAGGCTGTAACAACAGGACACTTGATTTTCCTTTCAGTCCTGAATTGTTTAAAGGGAAACACTTCTCTTTCCCATCAGACATACTTTGTCTTTAAGCCACGTGGACACAAACCCAAGTAATACCTTGAAATTTGTAAACAGTCACAACAGTCCCAAGAATTTCCATTTCAAACTGGACTTCAGGCTGGATTTGTTCTTTGGTATCCAACTGCTTCTTCTTCTTGGTCCTCCTCTTCACCTTCAGAAGCAGGGTGGAGGTGGGGAAGCGATTGGCACATACGGGATGGCAGTAGGGGTCCTTGGGGCGGAAATACAGCTCCAGCCTTTTGGCGGGGTCCGCATAGATCTGTCAGCAAGGCCAGGCACACTCTCCGTCAGCATCGCACCTGCATAGCCCATCTCCTCGGGCCTCTGGCACCAGCCCCACGCGCCCACACCGCCTCAGGGGCAGGAATCGCCGCCCCACTAGGGCCGGCAGCGCTCCGGGTGGACGCCGCCCTGGCCGGCACCTCCCGCCGCCTCTTTCGCGGGCTGCAGCCGTGCAGACGAGCGGCATTCCCCCGGAGCCACGCGTGGAGCCTACGCGGGCACATGCAGGGCCTGGACAGCCGGACAGAGCGATCCCCCAAGGGGCGGCTCCCTGCCCCCCGGCCTCTCCCCAGCGCCCGGGCTGGCCTCCCTCCCCCACAGACCCTCGGCCCGGATCACCTCCACCCACCTCCGGGGTCCCCTCACCCGCGACACCCCCTGCTCTCCTCCCAGCGTCCGCAGCATGGCCCCGACGTCCCGCACCAGCCCCGGGTATTCCACGCACACGAGCCGCGGCGTGCGGGGCAGCTCCAGCACGGCCGAGCCCGGCTCTCCCAGCCGTCCGCACTCCGCCATGGCTCCCCGCCCGGGTAGCTCCCGACAGTCGTTCCTGACCCCAGAACTAAAGTTCCGCCGCAGGAGGGTTCCTACGGCGGCGGCGCGAGGCCGGGGCGGTCCCGATGGCGGTGGTTGGTGCTGAGAGAGCGCCGCCGGGCTCAGGCTCCTCCTCTGCTCGCGCTCAGAGCCGGACTCCCCAGTCCGGCCTCCGCCCACAAGGCTGTGCGTCGCAACATCCTCCTTTGGCTTTTTTTTTGCCCCCTTTGAGCTTCTGAGCCGATTTGTGTGCACATACGGTGATAGTTCACCAACTGGCTTGCGTTCATATATATTACCACTGTAATTATCTAAGAGGTGCTTGTAATTAGCATGGATGTTGATGGTGACGTGGGGATATTGAGAGGGCAGGACTGGATTAATGCTGTCCAGTCAGCGATCACACAGGTGATGAGGTAAAGCAAACCCTGCCAAGTGCTTGCTTGGTGCAGAGGGAGCCGTGGCTCTTGTATCAGCAGCTTCCCTGTCACATCGCAGTGTAACAGGGTCAGGGGAACACGCATTGCCCAAAGGGTGGATGTCACTTGAACACTGGGGAGAAAATCCTGTCACAGCAAAGACATGAAGAAAACAGAATTGCTCAGTTACAAGCAAGCTTTTAATGAATGGGGTATCTCTTTAAGAAGTTGTTTTGTTTTTTTCCCTTTGCTCCTGAGCAGTTCCTCAGGGTGATGTTGCAGCCAGTGGCAGATTCCGATAGACAGAGTTCCAGAAGTTCACATACTGGGATTTCAGATTCTGCTTCACAGAGTTTTGGTTCATCTTGTTGTTGATTTCCAGGTAGTAACTGCCCTCACTGGCATAGGGTGGCCAGGTAATGGGCACCTCTGAATTCCCTTTGTTAGGATCACTGGGCGAAAAGACATAGAAATGCATTTATATTAGGGCAGCTTGTGGATACAGCAAGGTCTGAGTTGTTTGGCAGGGATGCTCTCTGCTCAGGTGAGGCTCTAAGTGAGTGCAAAGAACATGTTGGACACTGAGACAAGCAATAGCAATTCTGCCTGCTAAGAGCAACCTGGTGACCTGCAGCCTCCCCCCTTAGTCCCCACTAGCATCATCCCTGGCAGCATGCAGCAGCTTAACTCCTGTCTGAACACCAGGACTTGGAAACAAACCTCATCATTAAATTTGAAGTAGAATTCACAAATCCTGAAAATGCTTCTGCTGTCCCCAGGTGTTCTCTGGGTCAGGAGGACCCAGAGCAAACTCCACCACTGCGAAACAGAGCCAGGCTCACATCGGAAGTACAGACAGAGGACAACTAGCTTCTGCGAATTGCTCCTAAGAAGTTAATAGGCAAAGGGAGCAGGCTGAAGTGCTGCAGCAAATGTGGAACCAGAATCACTCACCCTGTCCTTGCAAAATTGGTCCAGTAAGCAATCATGGCCTTTGAAACAGTCCTGTGCTTGGGCAGGTAGCCCAGAGGTGTGGCAAAGGGTTTCCCAAACACGTACTGCAGGTCATCAGCATGGTCTGCACCTACCCAGCTTGGGTAGATGGGCATTCGGGATGGCTGGGAGAACAAGTAGCTGTATGTCTTGGCACTCCTGAGGAAATAAATGGACTTGCTAAGCAGCTGCAAGTAGGGAGCAGAGAAAGGTGTGCAGATTCATAACCATACGCCAAATACCAGCAGAGACAGAGATTTAGCCTTGGAAGATGCTCACATGCACCTAAGAGGTGGTCTCAGGAGAAAACATCTTTCTATCTGGTAAGTTTTAGCTTCCATTTCTGATTCTCACCCTAACCCTCATATCATCCAACTGCCAAGTCTCATGGCATTAAACATTGCTAGGATGAATTGTGAAGTTGTTAGGATGCAAAAACTTGTTGTAATGGGAATTTTAAACAAATTTCTAGCATGACTGCTTTGCAGCATTAGAGAAATAGTGTTTATACAAGCTATGTGTGAGTGTGTACTCAGTACCAAAAAGCCTGCCTCCTACAAGTTCAGTTCTCTTAACCAATGCTGGGAACTCAGTGTTTTGGCTCCCAGGTGGGCTTTGGGCTCCTGCCAGGGCTGAGCTGCTCACCGGGCATTCTGCAGATGCAGATTCAGTGCCCACTGTGTGGGAATCAGGAAGATGTAGTCAGTAATCAGGTCCACCACTGTCTTCTTCATGGCCTCCTGCTCTGGGTTTTTGCCCCATGCTTGTGTGTAGACACTGTAGGTCTCATTGGCTCCACGCTCACCCCTGTCCAAAGTAAGTCCTTTGACCAAATTATAGATCTCGTCCCTGAAAAGACAAGTAGTATCAATTAATTGCAGACCAGCAGCTTCAAGTGGGGCAGGGCTCATGGAAATGGATCCCAGCCCTCACTGACATTCAGATTCAACCCTGCAGTTAGTGATGGTTTGGTGGAATAAAAGCCAGTTATTTCATTCCAGGTCTTAGATGGAGGGCATGTGCTTCAAGCTTTCTTAGCAGCACAGCCTGAGGGCAAATTGGCCACAAGTTCCTTTCATCCCCAAAGAGGAGTCTTACGGGGTGGGCACCTAGCATGTCTGGCATGTATCTGCTTTGGACAGAGAGCATCAGGGCTGCTAAGCCTATCCCTGGTGCTGAGTTCAGGGGGACCTTAAAGGAATATGGAGAAGCTTCTCCACTAACTGGCCCTTGCTTTTGAAGGCTCTGGACTTGGCACCATATGCCCTAGGCACCCTAACCTGGAGTGACATCCTGTTTTGAAGGTAGTACATCCTTCACTTACTCAGTGATTTTCACAAGTGGGCGATTGATAACAGGTAAATCAATGCCAGCAAACATGTGTCCATCCATGTTATTAACTCCAGCGATATAGTCAATGTCAGCAGCATTGGCAAACAGGTTCTCTGGCATGTCTGGGAGGAAGTCTCCGTCGATGACAGGAGTGAGGGCAAGCGTGTGAACCACAGGAGCTGCAGCACAAGACAAAAAGAGAGTCCATTAGGAGCTGAGAAAAGACAGATGTGTGAGTCATGGCATATCCCATGACTCAAAGAACTCTAGAAGGTATAGGCTGAGGTGAATGACAGCTTGGGCAGTGACTTCAGCATGGGCAGGATGTCACCCAGAAGCAGGGTGACCACAGGATTGCATTCAGCGGACTTCATGCCTGTAGGTGGGGGGGGCGAGCAAGAGATCTGCCAGCCAAGTACCAGCAGGTAACATCAAAAATTCCTCTCTTCCACGCAGTCACTTTCCAAAAAGCCCAGCCAAAGGTGGGGAAGAGCAGAATTTCTCATCTCACCTGGCTGTGCTCACTCATTGTCAAGATAGCTGATTCCAGCCAGTGTGGCTGCACTATGCCACTGTGTGGCTGCTCTCTGACCCAAGCAAGCCTAAACACTGGAGCTATTTGCTAGGAGCGTGAGGAGAGCAAGGGGAGGACAGTGTTCTTGGGAAAGAAATCCGCAGAGGCACAAAACCAGAAGCATTCCCTACTTGGTGTACAAGTCCTACACTCCACCCAGTGACTCAGAAACCCAGGGTTGTGGTCAGTTATTTTTTTTTTTTGTAAGCTGCATTCTGGAATTGCTCTTGCTGCTTTCACAGAACAGAAAGCTCATATGGTTGCTCTGGAGCTAAGACATAGCCCTTTAATAATGCCTCTGCCTCTGCTGCCATTGCTTGATGACAGTGTTCATGCAGCCCAATGTGCACCTGCCTGCAGAAGGTCACTGCAAGGTCTGTCATTATTGTCCCTTTCTATAGGACACAAGCACTGCTTCAACACTTCTGGCAATTGCCCATGTCCCACCAAAAGCATAGAGAGACCTGGGTCACTAAGAGTGGAGGAGTCACCATAGCATGGGCTGGAGGACTTACAGGGCAGGTTGATCAGCTGCATATGGTAGGCCAGTGTCAAAGATTTGGGGTTGGAGATGCGCAGGCAGTTGGCTAAGGCGGTGGTGTTGTCTGTGGGGCATCCCACACTTTGTCCAAGCTGCAGCAGGGGAGAGAGAGAAACCTCCTAGCACTACCTTTTGAAAACAGGTTTCATTACCAGCTTCACAGAGGCAGAGGAATGGTTGGTTTTAATCTCAAAACAGCATGTTTCCAAAGCTCAGTTAGGCACCATGGCTCCTGCTGAATCCCTGGCTAGTTATGCCTTTCTCTGGAGAATCAGTTTTCTGTTTTTTTCCAGTCCCAAAGGCAAGACTTCCATGTTACCTCCTTAGCCCAGGTGAGTGGGTTCTTCTGAATGGCCCAGCTGCAGAGACCAACGCCACTCTGGCTGATGGCTCTCCTGAACAGGCCCTTATTCTTTGGGGTCAACATCTGTGGTGCAAAATAGAAACAAGAGGGTTTCAGGTGCAAACTGCTAAAGAGATCATCACGTCCCAGACCCGGCTGATCCCTTCACAGCTTGTGCACCAGGCACTGGAAAGCTCCCAGATCTCATCCTATTTAACAGTCTCAGCAGTTAAAAGGTGATATGATTACAAGAAGAGCAGAGTAGGGCCTTATGGCAAATAAATGCTATTTTACCAGAGGTCCCAAAAGCAAGGACACATCCCTGCAGCAGTGGGATAGATTAAACTGAAGAGGGAGGAGAAGCCACAAAGCAAAGAGGCCGAACATTGCTGACCCTCAGCAGGAGAGGATGTTAATCAGGTGATACGTGTGGAGGAAAGCATCAGAATGCCAAGGGGATCATTTCTCTTGTCTGCAGAGAAAAGAAGTGGCTCTGGAGGACTCTGATAAGGACAACACACCTGCAGGGAGACACTGACAGCACCAGCTGATTCCCCAAAGATGGTGATGTTTTCTGGGTCACCCCCAAAGGCCTTGATATTTCTCTTCACCCAGGCAATAGCCATCTGCTGGTCTTTCAGCCCATAGTTCCCTGAGCAAGAGAGCACCTGCCGCTGAGTAAGGACAAAGCAAAGCTGATAAGCTGGGGACCCACAACAGTCCCCTGAAGAGGGAGCAGCAACCATACCTGGCAAGTTTGCATCTCCAGTGCTCAGGAAGCCCAGGGGCCCCAGGCGATAGTTGATGGTCACCACGATCACATTGCCCCGCACAGCGATCTCCTCACCATCATAAAGGTAATTATTGAGGAAGTTGGCTCCCTGGCTTCCTCCTAGAAGGAAGGCGCCGCCGTAGATCCAGATCATCACTGGCATGTTGGTAGAGACTGGGAGATGAGGAAGAAAAGCAGTGTGAGCCACAACATGTCTTTACAGAATGTGGCCAAGAAAGCCCACATTCTGTAAAGAGGCTGAAACTCTCAACAGGCTGCAGCTGAGGGACATTGGTTGACATGGTTCCCACCTTTCCCCCTGAAAATCAGTGCTCCTGCAGATGCCCACTATGGGAAAATAGCTGCTGAGAGATGCTTCAGGGCAATTTGTTCACAAAAGTCAACTGAGAATCTCCTCCCCAGGTCTCTGCCAAACACATACCCTGTCTCTTCCCCTGAGGGATCCAGATGTTCAGATAGAGACAGTCCTCACTCCCGCGGACATCAGTTTGTGTAAGTGTCACCTGCATGCAGCGATTTTTGAATTCTTTTGTCTGCAGTGTTCCTGAGAAGAGAGGAAAGACAGCAGGTCCTAGTTAGAGGCATCAACTCCATCTTTTGGTTCCAAGCTTCCATCCATCCATGCTCTCCTCTGTGAGTCCAGGGCAGAGGCAGCAAAATCTCCCCAGCCACTGTGACCACTCTGTGAGAATGACAAAGTGGGACCCTTCCCCATGTTAACTAGCTCTGGACAGCCAAGGCATGGAGGGGGAGATGGAGGTTCCATGCTTCAGTCTTGTCATATGGTTACTTCAGTTGCTTGGGAACACTTAGACACAGACTTTCAGACCCAGCATGAGTCTAAGAGTTTTTCCTTAGCAGTGCTTAGTAGATGGAAGCAAGCAACAGTATCTTTGGCTTGTCAAAACAGACTAAAGAGAGAGAAGCAAAAATAAAACCCCAAACCAAAGGCATTCAAAATCTGGATCTCACCATCCCAGCCAGGATGAGGTTTGGGGTCTTCCAGAGTCTTTGGTGGGGCAGCAAAGGGGATCCCTCTAAAGACGTCAACGTAGTCCCCAAAGAGTCCCCGTCGTTTATTCTCGCCTTCCACAAAACCTCCCTCGGTGAGCACCACACCCAGCTACATGTAGTACCATGGAGAAGAGAAAATCCATTGCACAGTTCTTCATGCCTCTGGCTTCCCATGTTGCCAGCACCCACACCTTGCCCTGGCCAGTCCCCCAGGTAGACCCACTCACAGCCTGCCTTCCCCAGCTGTCCCCTTGGAACCTTGGGGAAATGACAAGTAGCTGCCACTGGAGACGTTCCCATGCAGATGTCCTACAGGATGCGCTTTGAAGCAGACAGGAAGCAGCAATTCCCCTGCTCTCCCAAAGAGAATAGCAGAATCTGAGGACCTTCAGCTTGAAGATGTAAATCAGGACAGACCTGACAAAGAACTGTGCAGGAACTTTTGGAAAAACGTTGTTGAGAGCCTTGCAAGTTTTAGGGAAGGAAAATACCCTGCTTTGGCTGTCACAGTCTGCAGGCTCTCTTTCATGGGCTCCAGACCAGGTGTAGGATGATCTTTTGAGGTCCCTTCCAACCCTTGGGATTCTGTGATTCTGAGTTTACTCATTCAGGCAGGAACAGGCAAATTGTCTTGCAAAGCCATAAAAAGTGCTTTTGTACTTACGGTTGCAGCTTGTGCTACCACAAGGAAGGTGTACAAGGCGAAGCACAGGATCTCCCAGCGAGCCATGGTGAGCACACACCCGAGGAGCCAGTTCCTAAGTGGAGACTCATATATATCTAGCAGTGCCACTGTGTGTCAATGCCATGAACCAGTCTTGGCTCTAAATTAAACCAGAGGAGCCTCTACACACTTGTCCTTCAGTAGGCTGAGGCCAAACCATGGATGACGTAAGCTGGCATCACAGTGTGAGAGCCCTGCAGATGCTGCTTTTGTGGGCTGGAAGCCAAACCTAAGGAAATAGTTCAGCCTAACAAAACTCCAGAGCACATCATAAAAGCTGAAGCTTTGAGAAGCCTCACACAAGCGCAAGAGTCTCAAAACACACTGAACATGCAGTAGAGTGTATTATAGGCAACTAATGAGAAACCTTGTACTTGTAACACACAAGACTCCGAAAATGCCAGCAGATCCTTAATTTCTGTGATAGAGTGGTACCAATCCAGCTGGCAGTGGCAGATTTAAGAAGTGGCCAGCCTCTGTGGACCTGAAGCTCTGCTCCATTGCATGCATCCTTCTGTCTCTGCTAACTACCAGAGAAGTCAAAACAGGCTTGAGAAGCACACTGGCTCGTGAGGACAGCATACACTACATATTGTGCAAAGAAGTTACTCACTGCCGGAAAGTGTTCTTTCCTGCTGGCTTTATTTCCAAGATCACCAGTGAGGTCTGATGCTCAAGTCATGGCCCAGGGTTTTCATTCCCCTTAGACAAGCAGAAGGGTAGCACCTGTCCTGGAGACTCCAGTAAGACTTGAGTGCTCTGTCCTCATGTACATTCCCTGTTTTCCATGTGGACACCAAGCCAGTTAAAGTGCACTTCCTACACATGGAAACATTTGGGTATGTGACCTCTCCTCTCTTCTGGTATATTACCAGCTGGTTTGGATTCTGGGCTCTGTCTTAGGAGTTTGTTGAGCTTTACTTGAGGACTTATTAGCCAGCAGTTATGAAAATACAGGTAATGCTCCCTAACATCACGAATGGACGACAGCCATCAGCAAGCACCGCAGTCAGTGCAGAAAGCTCATCATCCTTTTAGTACAAGTTCTGCTTTCCCACATCCTGGGCATGGTTGCTGAACCCTCAGCTCTCAGGGTCCAACAACAGAGACAGTGTTAGTCCAGCAGCAGCCAGACTGCTCCCTGAGTTCACACGTAGTCCAGAATTTCTGTCTCCATTTCATTTTCACTCCCATCAGAAGGCTTGAAGTCCTCTTCCTCCTCCTTTTCGTCATCCTCATCCTCTGCAGATTCATACGCCAGCTGCTCTTCACCATCTTCAGTGCTTGTTTAACCAAAGAAAGCCCTTCTGCAGGCACAGCTTATCAGGCTTCTTGATTGTGATGGGCAGACTGTAGTTATATGTACTGCATTTTGCTTTCACGGGCATGTCATTACGGGCATAACCTAGAGGCGAAAAGAGAAAGCCAACAATGAACAGAGGATAAGCACGCTGCAGAATATCCCTAGCTCAATAACAGAAGTGGTGGGCTGGTGTGCAAGAGGCAGGGTGATCCTTGGGCTACTGTGATGTTAGCAAGGTGGGGAGAGGAGAGCTGTCACATCTATAAAACCATTTAGATTGGGAGATGTGATGGCAATGACTGGATGCTAGCTCTGCCATGGACTTACTGGATGACCTCAGAAAGGTCATTTCCCTCAATTTGCCCTTTGCAACATCAGAGCAGGGGAACACTGTGTCCCAATATCTGGGACTTACTGTCCTGCATGAGATGCAGAGGATCACCAACACCCAGCTGTTGCTTCCTTGCTCTGCCTTTTAGCAGTCTCAGATAGGCACAAGGGCAGATGTATGGACTTGCCATGTAATAGGCCAAATGCAGTGAAAGAAGTTTAGGCTTGTCTGGGTAGGACACTGATACTGGCTTTCACTGCATTCCAAGACCTGACAGGACAGATTTCAAATATCTAAAATAATACAAACTGTGGAACTGAACACAGCAGTCTTGGTGGCATATAATGAGACTTTTTATATCAGTCAAACTATGGATTTGGCCATTTTTATCCCCAGATAAACAGACAATGACCATCGAGCAGCCAGTCTACTCTTCAAAAGGGCTGGAGATCTGTGCAGAAAGCACATTGCAAAATTCTTTTTCAGAACATGGCCAAGACTAAGGAATACTATTTCAGAGCCCTGGCCAGCATTTCAAACACCTGCCACTCACTCACATTCCTGATGTGACATTGTTGTGCCTTGACAAACTATTATCTCATCCGTCATTTCAAGTAGAACTGCAGCTGTTCAGGACACCAAATATTCCCGCATCCGTGACAGAATGTGCCAGTACAGCCCTCCTCATTTGATAGATTACAGAAAAAACAAATGTGTATTTGGCTTGGGGCACAAAGGACAACTGATATCGAACAGGAATGGAACCCAAAAGCCTGTATTTGGGTCCCTGACATAATTACATAGGCCCATATCTCACTCAATAACAAGGTTAAACAAGCACGATAACAAAAACACCAAAGAAGCAGCAGTAGTTACAACCACAAGAATTTTCAGTGAGGTCTGCATGCTGCAGTACAGTGCTCAAAGAGTAAGGCACGTACGTACTTTTCTCAGCTCTTCCTCCACCTTTTTATCCACAGGATTTGTGCACACTTTCTTCCAGGTGTGTACAGCAGCATCCAGTGGTTTAGCAGGGACCTTTGTCATCAAAGTTCACAAAAATAGCGTTGTGTGGGCGACGGGCCCTGCTGAGGCCAATCAGGTTCTCACCAGACACCTGGGGATTGTTGTATCCTTCCCTAAGAAACAGGGAAAGGATCAGGTCTCCTTTTTGCCTGTGGCACACACACAGACCTGGGGCCTTGACAAGAAACATGTGAAAATGGAAGCTTGTGCTCAAGATTTTGGAAGAGAAGGGACTCAGCTGAGTGAGCAATGGGTCAGTTTGTCTTTCATCCCATCTCCCTATCACATACTGGTACCATAAAGGAATCTTGTGACACCACTGAGGAAAGTTTGGGGAATTACCCCATTGCTCTGTATGAAATGCATTAGGAGCACAAAAGGCTTCACACTCTGCATTTGCTACTCTAGCTACTGCAGCTTGGTAGGTACATAGACCAGGCAAAATGGAAACGCAGTTACGATATCTATATATATTTTTTTAAGTGCCAGTGAAGGAGCACGGTGAGAAACCAAAATATGTTTCTTGTGGGAGAGCTCACAGGTTGTTCTTCTGGCAAAGCCAACTGGTGACCAAGAGGGAACAGGTCCAGTGAGCACGGTCACAGGAACACATGGCACTGACTCTTGCACGCTCCCCCTCGGTTCCAGCCCGCTGGAAGCAGGCAGAAAGCCAGGCTCACTGCATGCCGTGCTTCCAGGAGCACGCTGGGGGAGGCCATCATCTTCACCCAGATCACCAGCTCCCCTCACCTGGCAAGGTCTCAAGTGGACTTTTGCTGGGGTTTCTGCTGTCCAGGCAGTTTCTGAAGGGTGCCTGCTTCTGCTGTGCCAAATCAAGAGGGGTAAAACAGATTAAGGCATCAGCTTAAACAGGAGAAATACATGAATTATGTATTTAGTTCTGCTCTGATGCTTTGAGAGCAGAGATCCTATAATAACAGTCAAGTCAGAATGGATTGGAGGCGTCTTCAAGTGGTTATACTTCAAGTAGAAATATATATCAAGCCAGCAAAACCTTTCACTACCTGTCCATTCCAGAACCAACACAGTTATATATGTGGCCAATAAAAATAGTCAATGGGAGTGTCTGTTAAGGGATAAGGGCTGTGGGTGCTACAACTGTTTGCAATGCTGTCCCCCCTTTCTTTTTCTACCGAAGCTGCCCCTTTTTTAAGGTTGTAAATGTAATTATTAAAGTAATGAGGTGCTGTTTGGGGTAGTTTTGCTCACAGTTTGCCTCTTTTTTTTGATAAAAAAGAGAGGGGGAGAATCTGAGCAGTGATGATGTCATTGGGGTACCCCAGTATTTCTGGGTTGTGGCAATGATTTTGTGGAGGAACAGGTGAGTAGAGGATGGGGGGGTCATCTGAAGAAAGAGCGGGTAACAGCCCAAGAATGACTGAAAATTTATAAGTGTAAATAGATAATATATATAAAACATATACCCGAAATATATAGATGTGTAAACATCTATGCCATATAAGGTTTTTAAAATGCACAGAAACCCTATTTATAGACTTAAAAACTCGCACCCACCCTCTAACTAAACGGTGAAAATGTAAAACTATCTTGAGAAGCTGCCCCTTTCCCCCTTATCCTTTCCTCCCTTTTCCCATCATGATTCATAGACAATTCCCCTAAGCAAGGACTTTCCATGGCAGGCCATGCCTGTAGAGCTGCTGCCATGGCACAGAAATATTTTGCAATATATTGCAGGATGGGCAGACAAGGAGTATCCCAAGCTAGCAGATGCTTGGGAGGCTCTGTCTCTAAACTAACTGATAACTAGAACGATGGTGTGAAATAACTCATTCATGTTTAGTGGGGCCCAAATCCAGCTGTGTGTTTTGTTTCTATTATTGACCCCCCACACCTATGATTTGCGAAAGCCAATACATTTATGTGTTTATCACACAGTTCTTCAGAAACGTTATGTTTTCCAGGCACTAGCTTTCCTTATATCAAGCTACACCCCCCCCTTTCTTTTACCTTTACAAATTCTTTTGCTGTGTGACTCCGTTTTGATCAAGAGATCTGAACCTTTTTAACTTGTCTAGTCTTGTGTCTTTAGTGTGTTTTGTTTCTATTATTGTAAACTCGTATAGTTATATCCACATAACCACACCTATGATTTGCGAAAGCCAATACATTTATGTGTTTATCACACAGTGTAATCTTTAGATGGCAGAAAACTCCGTAAGCAAGCCTTAGACCAACTGCTCCCACATCTAAGGCCTTCAGCTCGACGGCCAGGGCAAATCAGCAGACCCCCTCAGTCCTCTACTCACCTGCTCCTCTGCGGAATCATCACAGATAAATAAAAATGCGTAAAGAGAATAAAAAGCGCAAGAGCAGAATGTGATTATAAACTGCTACAAAGCAAACACAAAGCAAGAAAAGCGAACAAGCCTGAAAGAACCTCCAATAAGAGTTCCCTTT